CGCGAGACACAAGTTAAGACTGGAGTTGCAAGACTAATCCTCGTAGGAATAGGCAAGGCGCGAATACTAATCCTCGCAGGAATAGGAAAAGTAGTTGAATGTCGGAACGCGCGTGGGAGATCGGTGACGGGAGTAATCCTCGAAAGATCAGGAAACGTAACCGGGAGCATATTCCTAGTAGGAATAGGAATAGTGGATATGGGCTCGAAGCATTATCCTTCAAGGAATAGGAATAGCATACACAAAGCTCGAGACCTTACTCCTCGAGGCAAGAGGATAGGTGGCCGTAGGAGACACGACCCTAGTCCTTGAGGACTAGGGCAAGGTGGCGCGGGCGGTGGGCATCCAAGAGGGCGGCTAGGGGTCTTGAGGGCGACTTGGAGTGCAAGCAAAGGAAGAGATTTGAAGATCAAGTTAATTAGGACTCTAGTATATTTACTTTCCTTATTGCTTTTATTTATTAGTAGTAGAAGATATTAGGAGATTTACTAGCATTATGAATTATTTTATTGCATGAATTAGGAGATCTAGTTAGATTAGAATTAGATTTACTTTGCACCCATAAATACCCCATGTACTCTTCATAATTAGAAGTGCAGAATGATGAATTGAATCTTGAATAGTCTTAGTTAGTAGTAGAAAATTCTGAACTTTTGTTCAAACACTTTGCTTTAGTTTTTCACCAAGAATCTATTGCAATTTTATTCGTTTCAAGAGGCGCGATTGTGGCTCGAGAAGCACCTATCGACGATTCAAGGCGCGGGCAAGCGGCTTATCGGCAGTCGGGACACGCGATCTTCATCACCCTGTGCCCGCGTGCGTGTCTACGCGCGCTGCTGTTCCGCGACGCGCCCGCGCGTGCCTGTCTGTGCGCGCGTGTGATGAAGACCGTGTGTCTCGATTGCCGACAAGCCACTCCCGTGCCTTAAATTGCTGATATTGTGCTCGGAGGTTCACACACTCGCGCCCCTTCGAATGATAATTTGCAATAGGATACTAACGTAAACTAAAGCAAGAGATTTGAACAAAGTTCAGTTTTTGTATTAAGAAGAATCAATGATGACTATTTTTTAACAAGGCACGATTATATTTATAAGGCTCAAAATAAAGATTTAGTCCTAATCTACTTAGACTAAACTACTTACTCTAGGAAAGCAATAAAAATATTAAGTGTCCAAAACAAACTAGAAAAAAAGAAAATAAAATATTAACCAAGCTATCTAGAATATTTCTTGCTTGCGTCTCAAGCCGCCCTGCCCCGCGTCCGCGTTGCTTAATCGCCCAAGGACTAGGGCTTCATCTTCCATTCCCGCGCACGCGTCCAGCAGCTCGCCTAATCCTTGCGCGCCCAGGAAAGTACGCGCGTGCACCACGTCGCCTGTGCATTCAAACCCGCGCTCGTCCCCGACAGTATCGCGTGCGTCGTCTTTCGCGCGCGCATCGTATTTTACGCGCGCGCGCGTTCGTCCTCTTATCGCGCCTCGCCGACACGGCGACTTAGCCTCCTTCACGCATGCCACGCGCGACTCGTTGCATTCTTGAGTCTTGTTGCCGTGTCTGCATCATTCCCGTCCCCTTCAAGTGTTTTCTTTTCCTCAAGGAAGAAGTCGGGGAACATCTCACGCATCTCGTCCCAACTTTGCCACGTCGCTTCCTCGCTCGGCAAGTCCTCCCATTCGACGAGCACCTCCCAAAAATTATTTCGCAGTCTTTTTGACTTGCCGGTACTCCATCGCGCGGCTCGGCCGCACCATAACCTGCCCATACGGTACGACCGCGGGTAGTCGATCCTTTGCCTCGTGCGTCTCGCCAAGTTGTTGCTTGAGTTGGGAGACGTTTATAACCGGATGAATATGTGAATCGTCTGGCACCTCAAGTCGATAAGCAACCTTCCCAATCTTGGCCAAATTTTTATAAGGCCCGTAATATCGAACTCTGAGCTTGGTCGTGGCCCTTTGCGCGGTCGTCCTTTGCCGAAACGGCCTCAACTTCAAGTACACCCAGTCCCTGGGCTCGAACTCCACGTCACGCCGCTTGCCATCATGGTATGCCTTCATCCTATTGATCGAGCCCTCTAACGTCCGCTTTAGCTCGCGCAACATCAAGTCGCGCTCGACCAACTCTCGATCGACCTCATCGTTCACGGCGCTCCCCATCGAGTAACTCAATATCGTCGGCGGTTTGCGTCCGTACCCCAACTCGAACGGCGTCTCCTTAGTCGAGCTATGGTAAGTGGTGTTATACCAATACACGGCCCAAGGTAAGTAATCCTCCCACCGCTTTGGAAACTGATGCACATAGCACCTAAGGTACTGCTTGAGTGTGCGATTGGTCACCTCTGTCTGTCTGTCGGTTTGTGGATGATAAGCCGAGCTCATGCTTAGCTCGGTTCCCTGAAATTTAAAGAACTCCGATCAAAAGCTACTCATAAATATCCGATCTCGGTCGGACACAATTGACCGCGGCACCACATGCAATTTCATCACATATTCAACAAACAATTTTTCTATAGACTTAGCCGTGTATGGATGAGTAAGTGGAATAAAATGCGCATACTTGGTAAAGCGGTCGACTACCACCATGACTCCATTGAACCCATTAAAGAGTGGCAACCCCTCAATAAAATCCATGGTGATGTCCTCCCAAATGCGTGCGGGAACCGACAAAGGTTGGAGCAGCTCGCCCGGTCGACGCGCGTCTGCCTTAGTGCGTTGGCACTCATCACATCGCCCAACGTAGTCGCGCACATCGCCCCTCAGCCCCGGCCAATAAAAAGTGCTCGCAATCCTAATCCATGTCCGGAACACCCCCGAGTGTCCTCCAAACTTCGAGTCGTGGAAGTGTCGGATGATATCCTCGCGCAACGGTCCCGCCTCGGGCACGAAGACTCGCCCACGATAAAGGAGCAAGCCATCGTGCATGTCATGGTCCTCGTCCTCATCGTGTCCCACATTCAGCTTCTCGATCACATCCCGACAATGCGCATCCTTGTCTGGCGCCTTCTGAAGCTCGGCCCAAATGGCCCACGTCGTTCCCGTCACGGCGTCGAGCTTGGCCACGTCTCCTCGGCAAGACAATGCGTCGGCCACGGTGTTCTGGAGATCAGGCCGATACACTATCTCAAAGTCGAATCCCATCAACTTGGATACGAACTTCTGCTGCTCGAGTGTCACGATCTTTTGCTTGAGCAAGTGCTTGAGCGGCTGCTGGTCCGTGACAATCCGAAAGCGTTGCCCAAGCAAGTATGGCCTCCACACGCGTACGGCCTCGACCACGGCTAGCATCTCCTTCACGTGTTGTCCGTTGCCAAGGGACCAAGTCGCTTCCTCGACCACGGCTAGCATCTCCTTCACGGCTAGAAAGTGCTTGAGCGGCTGCTGGTCCGTGTGCGTCCCGTTAATGCCCGCGCTTGTGCCCCGTGCACGTTCACACCCGATCGTCGCCTGCGCATCACCCTTTGATGCGCCCTTTTTGCCCATTAGCCTCTCAACCTTATTCGATCCAAGGGTGTCGATACCCACTTCCGTATCATTCCTCTCCTCTTCAAGACTTTCCTTGTCCCCAAGGATAAGAACATTCAGCATGTCCACATCACTATCACTATCTTCCTCAATGAGTAAATCACCTTGATCCTCAGTCCTTAACTTAATCCGCTTTCCCGGTCTACCAAACTCCATCTTTCCTCGCTTATAATCAGTTGTAATGGGCCCAAGCGTCTCCAACCATTGCACGCCCAATACTACATCAGTTGCTCTCAGCGGTAAAGCATAGAGATCGATTTCCAACTCCTGATCCTGAGCCATTATTGGAACCTTCTTGAATAACTTATTACCTTGAAGTTCATGTCCATTGGCTACCTTAACCCCAAACTTCTTGACCTTAGTGGGCTTCAGCTTCAACCTTCTGGCTATACTTTCGTCGATAAAATTTAGACTCGACCCACTATCTACCAACACTTCCAACAGCATGTCCTTAATTTCCGCAGTGAATCTGATCATCTTCGGACCTTGCTTCTTGCACTTTACCATGTGTAGTAAAGCCCTTTCGTTTGGTGGTTCATCCTCTTCCTCAAACTCCAACAAAAAGACTTCCTTACCTTTGCACTTGTGGCCTAGTGTAAATTTTTCATTACACGAATAACAAAGGCCCTTTTCTCGTTGTCGCTGACCGGTCTGAACCGATTCAGTCAGTTATTGTCAGTTTCAGTCCCGGTTTTCAGTTTCAGTGTTATTTTCAGTTAAATTCCGGGTCAAGTTCAGTTCAGTTAATTAATGTCAGTTCAGTTTCGTACTTAGCCGGTT